ACTTGTTCTTTAACTTTCTGTGCTGATTTGGCATTGCCTGTGGACATAGTTTTTCTAATACTGAGCAGGAACAATCTTTTGAACTCTATTTTTTCGCCTTCAATGACTTCCTCATTTCCAGTTATCGGGTTTAGGATCTAACATCTAACAAGGGCTGCTGTTGGAACACAGGGGAATTGAATATTTTCATTCCCACACTAAAAATATTATTTAAAGAGTGTAAGGCCTTTTTAGACAAATTCAATGGTTGTAGAGTCTCTTTTAGTTGAGTAAGCCAGATGGCCAAGTGATGTTGCTCTGATCAGGGGCAGCAGTTACTAGCTTGCTTATAGGCTTCTAACCAGGGGTGAAATCTACTTACCTTCCCTACCAGTTCGAAAATGCACGCGCCACTTGGCAGGCTACAAATGGGAAGCTGTTGGGTTATATAAGATCCGGGGGGGGTCCCCCTCCCCCTCCTGTCAGATTTTTCTTTTTCTTTTGATCTTTCTACACTATCTTCCCATCTCACTGAACAGAAGCCATGTGACGAATGTGTACTATGAACAACACATCATTGGAAAGGCAGAATATAAACCAAGTGTTAAATCAAAACCATGAGAATAAAAGCATCACTGATGCTTTTTATCTTTCCTAGATAAAAAAAAACTATTCTGTCAATATTTCATGGTTAAATGCAATGGATGCTTTTAACTTCAGACTATAGATAATTTTTGCACTAATGAATTTTATATTTAAGTATGAGAACATTTGGTATGTAAATCAATCAATCTCGAGATCACTACCTAAGCCAATCAATTGTTGAAATTGATCAAAACTTTCTGTATCTTATAAATGGTTTCAGGGAGAGAGATTTTTCCACAGATTGGAGGGGGGCTGGTTTTGCATGCTGCCTGCATCCCATGGATGGGGCTTCACTTGTTTGCATGGCCAGATTTCCAGCATGCTGCAGACCAATGCCAGTCCATGGACTGGGGGTTGGGGACTCCTGGCATATACTACCTAATAATGTAAATTAAACCATACAGGAAGAATTCATTGTAGAATACCTGGTTTCTAGCATCTGTCAGCCTTCTCTAACTGCCCTTATATGCATAATTAAATTTACACTGCATTATAATGGCCTAAGCCAGAACAAAATGTGTGTGGGAACTCAATCTTTACTTTAGTAGCTGACTGTTGATTTCCCCAGGAGAATACCTATTGGGATGCATGAAAGAATATATTTTACAAAAGAAAATTTTATTTATATTTTATTGGACAAAAGAACTTTTCTGTTCTTACTGTTAAAAGGTGATGTTATGTCTCCTCTTCCAGAAAATGATGTGTGTAGGCATGTGAAAATGTGTGGGCTGTTTCTGATATAAGACGTGGGCAATCTCTTGGGAGTCGAAATGGAATCTAAATGTTTGCAATGTCATTCTACTAGTAAGCTTATGTGGAGGCTGAAAGAATTTCCCAAAATGAGTAGGTTATTATATATTCCACCTCCAGCGCAGGATGAAAGGTCACAGTCACCCAGACTCAGATTTACACCAAAGATGTTCAAATGTAGTAGAGAGATTCATGTCTTTACCAAGAATCTTAGTACAATTTTTGAAATCTAGGTTTCCTTAGGGATCTCTTATTATCATTAATTGGAGACTGTTACCATACATTCTGGGTCATACCTTTTTAACAAGTGGAACAATTGGAAAATGCAGTATAGAAGTGATTTATATGGTGGCATAATAGGGCTGTGCAAAATAAAGAAAATGTCCTGCAAAATGCATTGCTGTGAGTGAAGCATCCTACAAGGATCATGTAGTCCAACTTTCTGCCTTATGCAGGAAAATCAATTAAATTATCAATGAGAGGTAGCTATTAGCCTCCTCTTAAAAATTTCCAGAGATGGAGACTCCACAACTATTCCATTGTGGTACAAATCTTACTCTCATGAAGTTCTCTACATTTAAGTGAAATTTAGGTAGCTGCAGAACTCTACTTATTATTTCTCTTCCCTGACTCTTTGAGTTTAGTTAGCCCCCCTCCCATAGTTATATATCAGATGAACTAATGCTGTAAAGATCATATGGAGAATGTAAAAATATAAAAATCAGAAGCAATATTTACATCCCCGAATTATTTATTTAGTGATGCTTCTTCACCTTCAAAAATGTTGTGAAAAAAAATGGTTTTAAAAAAGCAGAATAAAAAAACTTCCAAGTCACAAGTGGCAAAATCCAGGTTTGCAGCATATAATTTGTTTTTAAGTTGACCTTAGGAATCTACAAGCCAGAGCAGACATGCAAAATAAAATCACAAGCAAGAAGACATTCATTAATGTATTTATTAAATCAATGTATATGACTGCCCTTCTCGCAGATGGGATGCTGGGTAATAATAATACATTAAAACAATACAAAAAAATCACCCCAATATCAACAAAGCACAAGAAACCTCTACAGTGGTGACCAAGAGTCAACCTTATAAGCACTTAACAACACAATAACACCTGATTTCACAGGCCATCTACCATTTCTGCCCTGCCCTGGAGCACATTCAGGTGTTCAGTGCTTTGTGAAAGGCTGGCAGGATTGGAGCCAATCTAATCTTGGCACAGGGTGGGGTGGGGTGGGGGATATGGAGTTCAAAGGGCAGGTGCTTTGTCAAAATGGTATGCTTCCTGCACCCCGTTTGATGGCCTTGTTTAATTGAGAGGACTCAGAGCACGCTTTGACTTTCATATCCTACAGGAAGGGTAGAAATACAGGAAGGGTAGAAACAACCAGGGAAAGTGGGTTTCTGCAAATAGCCCTGTTCCATGCCATGAGTTATAAATTAATTTATAAGTTAAGGAACACAAACTCTCCTGAATACATTTGTCCCTGCCTGGACAAATCCTTGCAGATTTCTTGGCTAGGTTTTCCAGAAGTGATTTGCCATTACCTCCTTCCTAGAGCTGAAAGAAAGTGACTGGCTCAAGGTTTGTACCCAAGGCTGGACTACAACGTACAGTCTCCTAGGTTCTAGCCCATTGCCTTACCTACTATACCAGCATTGGCTCTCTGTCAATCTATCACAAAATACCTAAACATTATCAGTGGGACCCAATCTATCTTTTGGACATTCCTGAACACAATTTCATTGCATCAGGCAAATAACTTATGCAATGTATAAACTGTCATTTACTCTTAAATATTCAGATCTCAAAACACACAGTGATGTTCATTTCTGTGAATATAAATGCACTCAATATAAGTACAGACTGAACTGCTGCTTCATCCAGAGAGCTAAACCATTAGCATTTACAGAGGGCCCCAGATTTTATTTTCCTCAAACATTCTAATTTTGTCTGTTCTACTCATACAAAAGCTGAAGTGCATTTATAGTATGATCTTGCAACTTGTGGTCAGGAGACAAGCACAAGAGGAAGCTAGCATTACAATCAACCACAAGGTGGTAGCATATCTTAGATCTAAGCAACTTACAGAAACATTTGAAAAACAATTTATTTCTGTTGCATACTTTCCCTTCACCAGCCCAACTGACCCTGAAATTCATGGCAGGGGATTCTTCATGCACTGTGGTTAAAATCTGACTTGTACTTTTCCTTGCAATTCCAGCTGAAAGGTTTTTCCCAGGTGGAGAATATACTACATGAAGAAAATGCATCTTCTGGACCAACACATAAAAGCAGGATATTTATTCATTTAAGAACCTTATTTTGTCAGTGAAAACCAAAAGTGAAAAAAAAACAACAACACAAATGGATCTAGACCAACACATAAAAGCAGAATATTTATTCACTTTAAGAACTTTATTTTGTCATTAAAAAGCAAAAGTGAAAAAGAAAAAAACAACAACTGGAAAAGAAAGTAAGAAGCAAGGATCTCAAGTTAGAAAAGGATTTAAAAATCAAGGACCTCTCTGGTAGAAAATGTTTTGCAAAACTGCCATTTCTTTTTGGAAGTAGTTTCTTCTCTGGAAAATGGGGGGGGGGAGGAAAACCCAAAGCCTCTCCCTGGGACATCCCAGTTCATTGCGCCATCCAGGATTTGCCACAGTTACAGACAGCCACTCCCAAGCAGCAAACAGTAGGAGGGAGGGAGCTGGGAATTTCCCTGCTTCAGATTAAAGTTTATATATTAGAAACTTTATCTCTTTGTTTTGATGGTCCCAATGATTTTCCCACTAAATGCATGATCTATGGTAAAGTAAGTGTTATCAGATTGGAGACCACAATCAGCAAGGGCAGTGCTCTCTCCCAACAAATGCTTAGATCTCACAGGTCGTGCCTTTCCAGTCCACAGTGGTTCTGCAGTCCTTTCATGATCGTGATACCTTAGCTCCTGTTTAAAATGCAGAAGAAATCTTAAGCAGCCATGGATTGATGCTAGCTTATCTAGTCATAAACTGAACACAACTAAACGCTAAGCTTAAAAATGTGGGAAACAATTCTGATGTCTGATAATCTTTCTCCCATCAATTAAAACTGGAAAAATATGGCCACATGCCAGTCATTAACATCTCTTTTGCAGCCTATGTTAAAAAAAAAAGGATGAGATATATAGGAACTTTCAGTCTCTAAGGAAGGGTGGCAGACCCTCCCTTACTCAGTAAGTTTAACTATAGACTCAGTTCCAAAGTTGCAAGGTGAAGTGCCCAGCATAAAGCTACCTAAGTAAAAGTCTAAAGTTGGCACTTCCCTTTCCAGTAATACTAACAAATTGAGTAGAACAGAAACTGGCCTTTGCTCTCACTCTGATTATTCCAAGGAATAAGTGATTAGAGCTCTACTTATCCCCATGAGCTTTGTCTTCATGTTTGTCAGTCCCAGAAGCTGCCGGCTGGAACAACACAACATTCTGGTCTTGACAACTCTGTCCTGCCTTCATGGGAGGCAAAATCAGAGCTAAAGGGAGAAGTGGGGCAATCTGGTATCTAGACACTTCAGCTAGGATCCTGAGCAACAGTGGAGGCTGAATTAGCTAGGGAAGAAAGCAGATCAGGCTAAGTAGTAGAAAAAAATGCATTTTATTCAGGAAAAAATACCTTTAAAAGAAATTATTTTGGTAGACACAAAGAGAACTGGCATGTTTCATCATAGTCTAGGCAACAGAAGAAAAGGAAAAAGAATGAAATCTGAAATATCCTCAATACGGTCTGGAACACAATTCTTAAGGAGTTTCTCCAAATTTAGATAAACCAGGGAGAGCAAGCATGGGCCCAGTCTATCCAAACCTGTGTCTCTTTTCAAAGAGGCAGCATTTCCACATTCTCATTCAGGATTTAAAGTCAACATACAAATTTTTCCTTTCCCACACTGGCTCTATAGTCTCAAAAAAAGCATCCGTGGTTGTCCCAAGGCTCATATTACAACAAAGAGAATGATTCATTGATGGCCAGGTGTGTCACTGTCAGCCTCAAGCAGCAATGTTATACTCCTCACAAGGAGTAACTTTCCCATTTGGATGTTAGGATATTCGACTGGAGCACATCACAGGCTTTCCGGAGATTTTCAGGTCATCAAAAGGCAAAAGGATCTGTCAACCAAAGGGAAATAATGATACAGTGACCAGTCAAGAAGGCTGCGTACAAAAAAAGCTAGCATTGCCACTTTATCATGGAGAAAATCCATCCTTGTGGTTGCTAAGAGTCGACATTGACTCGATAACTTGACAGTGAGTAATTGATCATCACTTCAATGAGTGACAGAAACACAAAGCACAAACAGTTTGCAAAGATTGTCAGCTATCTAGTGTGGTCAGAAAGAGCAATAAAATCTACGGTTAAACCTTTTTACCCATTATGCAGGAAGATAATTTGTGATATTTTTCCTATGAAGAGCAGAATATTCATAGTTAATTTACTATATATGGTCTCTTTCTATGTGTTTTCAGGACTAACTCATGGAAGAAAACAGATCACCTATGTGAACACCCCAAGCTTTCCCAAACAAGGCTGGCTTCATGACTATAGGTACTCAGGTAATCCTCAACCAGAGGTGGGTTTCAGCAGGTTTGGACCAGTTCTGGAGAACCGGTAGCAGAAATTTTGAGTAGTTCAGAGAACCATTAGTAAAAATTCTGACTGGCCCCGCCCCCATCTATTCTCTCAAGTCCCAGCTGATCTGGAGAAAATAGGGATTTTGCAGTAACCTTCCCCTGGAGTGGGGTGGGAATGGAGATTTTACAGTATCCTTCCCCTGCCATGCCCATCAAGCCACGCCCACCAAGCCCCGCCCACAGAACTGGTAGTAAAAAATTTTGAAACCCACCACTGTCCTCAACATATGGCCAGAAAAGAGCCTGAAAAATGTGTTGTTAGTTTGGGGCAGTTATTAAGTGAGACAAGTGACTAGGACACGAGTTTGAACTCTATCCTAATATATAAAAATATTCTATTTTTTTTTTAATTTTTTCATGATAATCTAGCAACTTCCTCCACATCAAGACAATGAGTTTTATTATGCAAAGAAAGAACAATATTGTTCTAAGATGTTAGGAAGATAAGATATTATGCATTGATATCCTTTCTTTCCTAAAGGAGACCAGGCTTTAATGTTTTATTTCCCTAAACTACCTAAGAGGTGAAGTAAGTCAGGCAATATGACAGCAAATAGCTAAAGGTCACCATCGGAAGTAACAGGAATCCGGCTCTCTTAAGTACAATGCAGAAGTCTACCCATTCTATCATAGAAGACACCAGAATGGCCCTGGTCTCTGCACTGGGTTGGGATTCATAGCAGGAATCTGCATATGTAGGCTAAGGGTGCCCAATGGCCTTTGATTTCCATTTCTATATATATTATTATATATGATTTCTATATATATTATTATACATATACAATTATACATTGTCTATATATTAATAATGAAGACAAACACTATTTGACTTCAGAATAAAATCTGGTACTCAATTTGACCTACATGGAGCTCTGGTTTGCTTAGATCCTCATCTTCCTGATGTAGGAAGGACATCAGTTATCATCCTGATTCATTGCAGCATAATTGATGAAGTCTGCCTATCCTGCCTTATGTAGCTGCTTGGAACTGAAAGAAGTTGCAACGATGCCAAAGCAGTAGCAACCCCAAGGCAGATTAGCCAGTTTAGCAGCTCCTCCCTGCACGTAGCCTTTAAGATTAAGATCAGATGGATGTGAACTGCAATTTGGCAAATCAAAGATACAAAGAGCATCATGGAAACAGAGACAAGTGCAGTTACCAGAACTCTTGCCAATTCTTGCCTTTTTGCTAAACATCGTGTGCTAAAACTTAAGAATTACACAATACAACTTGTATCTCTGCCTTACTTTCAGATCAGTAGTAGGCAACCTACAGCTAATTAGCTTCCCAGCATCCTGGGAGTGTGCAGATGAAATTCAGGGTCAAAATGGCTGCATTCTAAAGGTGAGAGGTTTTGCAATTAACATTGAGATTGAGAACCTTCTAGGAAGGATATTGCTTCTATTTCCTTTCTGAAAACCATTCAAATATAACTCAAAATTTACATTTTTAAAATCTTTCCATTTTTTGGCCTTGGAGATGGTGTTTAGTGTGGGAATGGAAAGCCTCTCAGAGTTAGGTGGTGCTAGCCCCTGCTTTTAAACCCTTTAGCCTCCAAATTACTTTCTAAAAAATGACCAGTTCCCCTTTCCAATTCTTAACATCCCTTTCAACAGATCAAATATTTAAATACTCCATTTTGTGTTGTCACTGGATGGCTTCTTGCCTACTAGAAAATGGATAGACTGAAGTTGGCTTCCAGACTCTTAAAACATTCCCACCCTTATTCGGCACCTGAATCAGATTACTTAGCTCTTGCCTATAGAGCCTGATCTATTGCAAGTCATTCCAGAAAATCTCTCACATCATCATTGCCATCTGCCAGATCTTGAGCTGTCTCGTTTTCCATATTCCGCAATAAGGTATCTGCTCCCGAATCGCACAGTATTGCAGCAATGACAGCATCGTTCCTGCCTACAGCCAGGTGTAGTGGGGTGCAGTCATTGTACATCTGCGAATCCACCTGGGCTCCCAATTGTAGGAGGTGCCTCACAGCCATCTCATCATGATTCTCCACTGCCAGATGTAGGGGTGTCTTTCCACTTGTGCCATCCTGAGAGAGCAAGAGACGGGGTCAGTTATTTCACAAGATCTCATGAGCAAAATTCCACAGAACGTACCTCTTTCTGTGTAGATACAGTAAGAAACCAAGATTTCCTACTGCAAAAGCTTGCCACTTCTTGGCCTTTGAGTAAAAAAGACAGCAGTGAAAGCCAATTCCAAACAAAAATAAGAGAAAGAGAAAGTTCCGTTCTGGCCAATGGTGCACCTGAGAGATTCAAACAAAAATAATAGAAAGAGAAAGTTCCTTTCTGGGCCATGGTGCACCTGAGAGATTCAAACAAAAATAAGAGAAAGAGAAAGTTCCGTTCTGGGCCATGGTGCACCTGAGATTCAAGCAAATTGCTGAAACCTAGAGGAGCCTAGGGTGGGGATCACACTGGCATTGCAGTTCCTAGTCAGAGTAAGAGCATTCCCTTCCTGAAGATGCAAAAACTGAATAAGGAGCTCTGAAATAATCAGGGTTGTACATAATTCTGAAATGGTCATGACTCCTTGGAATTGATATTGATTTCTGGGAAATATGATCATGTGGATGTCATTAGGTTAGCAGCAATGCAGAACTGACTTTTTTTATTGCTTTGTTCCAGGACATTTCTTTCTTGCTGTTGATTTGTTTGCTTGTTTCCCAGTCATCTCCACAGCCAGCCAACCTCCCAGCCTGGTCTGACCCTGTTTAGCTTTCTAAAATCAATCTTCTGTTGATGGCACATAATCACTAACTAAAGCCAAATTTCATTCTAAAGGTTTTATCCTATAAGTTTAAAAGTTATCTCTGTTTCTTTCTTTTTTTAAAATAATTTTTATTAAACAGTTTGTCTTTAAAAACAACACAAAAAACAATCACACATATATAAAAACAAAACATAACGTATTGAACATTACATAACATTAATGGTAATTTTACAACATTTCGTATCAACTTACGTGTTTTTGTAGTACTCTATTCTATCATTTCTATATATATATATATATATATATATATATATATATATATATATATATACACACACATTATAGTAGTCATTATTCTTATCTACACATTTATATTCATTTAGATTTACATCTCTTTATTTAATGTTGTCAGTTACTTTAACTTTTAAATATTAAGTTAAACATTTCTTGTTCTGATTTCTATTTTTGAGTCAACTGTACATTTTGTTCCATATTTCATAATATTCTGAATCCTCTCTAAAAGTTATCCCTGTTTCATTTGCACAAAGGAAAGAAAGAGAAGATGGGCAAAGCTACAGCTTGTTTTTTTCCTTTTGTTCATTGTGTCCAATTCTCAGAGTCTCCTCGATAAATTCCTGAAATTTAATTGGCAAGGAATTTCAAAAATGGTTTGCCTTTGCCTCCTTCCTAGGGCTGAGAGAAAGTGACTCGCCCCAAATCACTCAGCTGGTTTTGTGCCCAAGGCAAGTCTAAAAACTCATGGTTTCCTAGTTTCTTAGCCTGATACCTTAACCACTATATCAAACTGGCTCTCACATAGGTAAGTTAGTTCTCCTGTATCCGCCCTCTTCCCCAATTTGGCAATTTTGGAGTAGCACTCCCTATATTGTTAGTATTAGATTTAGCCATTCCAATACTGACAAGCACCCTGGAAATCAGGAGATTCAGGCAATTCAAATGAGTATAAAGATTTATTGCGAGCTTAAATTCTCTACAGGAATCTGACCAACTAATGGTTAAGAGAAATGAGTGGGAGATAAGAAAGGCATTTGAAGGCGGGCTGGACTTAGATCGCTTGCGAGTACATTGTGACTTATGACACGTTTGACGCGTTGGGTTCAGCCGGGTCATCTCCTGCATCTACTTCTTATATAAAGCCAGTTTTTAAATTCTGCAGCCTGCCAAATTTTCTGCTCAGTAAGAAATTTTCAGAATTGACATACAGTATATCAGAGATGGAGCTCTGCTCGATGCCCCTAACTTACCTGCACATTAATGTCAGCTCCATTCTGCACCAGTAATGCCATCAATTGAAGGTTCCCTTTCAAGGTACTGATGTGAAGACACGTTAAGCCTGGAAGGAGAAAAATAAAACCCAAATAGCTCAAGAAACCTGTTGCAAATGAAGCATTTAAGCACTGACTTTTAACACTCGTCAGACACAATCACTCCACACCTTCCTTTACCTTGCCAATTCTGGAGCTGCAGATCTTGTACAGTTTTTCTAGTCTGCATCTCAGAGACTGGTTTCTTCAGAGGCAGCAACAACTCAACACATTCCAGACTCTGCTGCTCACAGGCCAAGTGCAGAGCAGTATTTCCATTCCGGTCCTGCAGTGCTGTGTTCACCCCTTTCAGAATTAATGCTTTCACCACTTCAAACTGCTCCAAATACACAGACAAGTGAAGCGGAGTCTGCAAATGGCAAAAAAAAAAAAAAAAAAGAGGAATGTGGGCTGGAGAAGAGTGGAGAGGCAAGGCAGGTATGCAAATAAATGGAACAAACAAACAAACAAACTTGGATTCACTTGGATTTTAACTGCATCACAGGAAATATAAAATTCAGCAGTGATGCAAGGTTTAGCAAGTTGTTGTGTTATTTATTTATTTAATTCTCCTCCCCCCCCAATGATTTTGGGTGGCTTACAATTAAAAAAATATGCTGCACTCAAAATACTAAAGATATTTAAAAACATCGAAACAGAATGCTTTTGGTATGTGAAGGAGATCATCAGCTTCTTGGCATAAGAAATAATCCAACAAAAGTTCCAAGAATGTTACAATGAAGCAGAATAGAACTTTATGTTTAAATCACTTTTAGAATATAGACAAAAATATTTATTTATCATCATTATTTAACTTAGGGGTGGGCTTCAAAAATTTTAGCAAGGGGTTCTCTCCCGGTTGCTGGGTGGGCGTGGCCACAATGGGTGTGGCTTAGTCAGCCTCCTGCACCATGGTAGGGGGGCATTTTTGCCCTTCCTGGGCTCCGGAGGCTTTTCTTGAGCCTCTGGGAGGCGAAAACAGCCTCCTCAGGCTCCAAAGGCCCTCTGGGGCCCATTTTTCACCTTCCCCGAGCCTCTACGCATGCCCTGCACTTACCTGCATCCAAAACGGGCTGCATGGGGACTCCTGGAAGGGGTGGGGTAGGGTGGGTGGGGCCACCTGGGAGTGGGATTTGGGGGTTCTCCAAACTGCACCGAATCTTAGCTAGAGATTCTCCCAAACCCCTGCAAACCCCCAGCAGCCCACCCCTGCTTTAACTCCCAGCCTTAAATTATTACCACACTGCAACTTGCTCTCCTCCAGCTAGAACAGAAAAAAACCCTGATCCTTCTTCACGTCTCTTACCACCTACTTGGAACAAATCATTCTGGAATTCCAAATCCTCCACGGGCATTTGGGCAATGCAGTAGAATGCGATAGATGGCATACAGTGGATGATTGCCAGGTGTAGTAACCTGAGAGGGAAAAAGATTAGTCATGCCAACCTGTAAAAATAAAGAATGACTTCCCTTCAAGCAAAGAAAACATTCCTATGTAGGAAAGCCACAGTTACTGGTTTATGTTTAGCTCTTAGAAGTACATTAGCAGACTTGCTTATTGGAAAATTGAGTCAGACTTATGCATGTGTAGTATAACAATTTCCATGTTACACCATTTCACAAGCCAAGATGTACTTTGCATAGCAAAGAAGTTTACTATTTTTGCAAGGTGTCAGCCATTCATTTTTCTGGTGAGCACTAAGAAGAAGAGACAGATGTCTCTAAATGCATAATAATCCATCAAAAAGTGAGGCACGCATTCTCAACAATTGTCCCACCAACTTAACTGAAATTGCCATAAAATAAATACAGGGCTATCAATATTCAAACCCAAAATGCAAGCCAAATATCTGTTTGCTTTTAAAGCACACAAACAGATAAGGAGGGCGGGTTGCGTGAGAACCTCCTGGTTCAAAGACAGGCAGCAAAATTAAGTAATGCCATGCGGAAAGGTTCCCTTACGTTCTTTCAAATAGATCTCAGTCAATCTGATCTAAAAGAGGATTTCATTTCAAAGGAGAAAAAAAATTTAGTGAAAGTTCTGTCAGTGAAGATTGATATTCTTGCACTTATGGAATAACAACATAGCTAAGGAGTATTTTTGAATAGTAAATTTTCATAGTAAATCGTCTTTATGGTGGTCTGTAGCTTTCCTGATTACTGTTTAGTAATTACATTTCAACAGAAAATCATAATGAATGGTCTTTTCTTCAGATTGGGAAATTGATTGAGCAGCCAGCCAGGAGACTTCAGAGTAAGGAAAGAGGTATAACAGAAACCAGTTATTCTAGTGAAATCCTTTAACATGCCAAACAATAAAATCAGCTAAAACTGCAACCAAGAGAAAATGCAAGAGAAAATTTCAGCCTTCCCAAAATTATAGTAGCAAAACAAAAACCTTTTCTTTAAAAAAAGAAACTGCAAAATGGTTATAGCCCTGGATTGGTTTAAGGTAGGTGTCTCCAACCTAGGCAACTTTAAGCCTGGTGGACTTCAACTCCCAGAATTCCCCAGCCAGCAAAGCTTTTTGGGAGTTGAAGTCCACCAGGCTTAACGTTGCCAAGGTTGGAGACACCTGGTTTAAGACATATGTGGGAGGGACTCAGATTTCTTCAACTGCCATACAAGCGACATCAAGCTCTCGTCCAATGAGAAAAGGCAAGAGAAGAAGTGGTGGTACAAACACATCTACACTTCCCAGTTATTGTAAAATAGCTGAACAGGGAAGAAGTCTCAGTCAAAGTACTGTAACAAGGCTGGATTCTAAAGCTTTACAGGAATTCTGGCTTTCCCACTCTATCATAATTACTCAAAGAAGGGCAGATGACAAAGGCAGTAGCAAACGCTATATCTTCATCAAGGGTATCAATGTATTAAGACCAAATGATGGTTGTTGTACTATTCTATCTTTTTTTTTTAAACAAACAAAACACTTGGTACAGAGTGTCCCTAGATATAGATGCTTCATTTTGTTATCTAGAGATTGCATTTCGGAAAGAAAGCTGGCTTCTATACCCCTCCAAACTGCCTTCCCTGCCTTCCTATATGGTAGAGAGGCTATTTGTGCCACCCTGGAAGCAGGCACCATTTTGGAATAGACCAATTATTAGACAATTGGACCAAGCCTTTATGGGGGTTGAGCAGGATATGTGTAACTCAACAGGGTGAGAAAGTATATTGTAATTGTATGATTTAAGTGCAAAACGTATATATACATATACACACATAAAATCAACTTTGATTTATATATATTTATTGTCAGCTTTGGAAGCCATATTAACGCCAGAAGCTTCCACACTGCCACTTTCTTGTGCGTGGGAAATTAGAAGGGGGGATTTAGTAGCAGGGATGTAGTTAGACAAAATAGCATTCTTCTTTTTGGCCAAGGTCAAGGCAGTCCTGCATCTGGAGAAAGAGTGGTTGAAGTGCTGTCTCAAGATGGGACAGATGGTGATTGGATCATGTGATGGAATGATGGGTGCAAGGGCTGGATTTGGGGATTTGATTTACTGAGGTAAAACCCGGAACTCTCAGATTCGGGTTTTCTCAGCTGTGCTAGTATACCTACTCTAATAAATGGGAACGTTGAGAAAATGCCTGTCTTGGAGTTTTTAATTGGAGTTGGGTTCTTCTGGAATGCTGACATTTATTTTATATATATAAAATTTCCATTTTATATACATACTTTACCGTTTAAAGCCAATTCTGTTAATTTTCTTAGCGTAAGGTACCAACAGTCATTATAATTGTAGATATTGAATGCTAATATCCTTTTATAAACACACTTTTCCAATATTTAACATGCAACTGAACTCATGAAAACTCAGCTGAAGTATATACAATGTGTAACTGTAGGAAGTTAGCACCCACCCATCCTAGAAAAATGAAATATACTAGGAAATATTAAAAAGGCAGAATATTATACCTTCCTGGATGAGAAAAGGAGAAACATGTGGAATGTGATGGGATTAAGACATGGCCCTCAGGCAGGGGTGAAATGCTATTGGTTTGGGCCAGTTCGCTTGAACCGGTAGTAAAAAATGCCACTGGTTTGCCGAACCGGTAGTAAAAAAGGTAAAAAAAAAGTTCCGAAGATCAGCTGAGCGACGTGTGATCGGCAGACCTTTTTTTTGTTTTTACTTTTTAAAGCATTTTTAACTACCAGTTCTGAAGAAGCGGTAGTAAAAAATGCTTTTAAAAAGTTTTAAGAAAGGTTCCCAAGCTCGCGTGCCACAGCTGATTCCCCCCCACAGCTGTTCTACTTACCTTCTGAAGCCTCCTTTTGGCGTGTACTGTGCATGCATGTGTACAGCATGTGTTTGGTGTGTACTGCGCATGTGCGTGCACAGCAAGCACTTAGCGCATGGCGCGCATGCGCAGCCAGCAAACTGGTAATAAACTGGTTCAGATTTCACCACAGCCCTCAGGACATGATAGGATTAGCCCTTTACCCATCTCACCACATGGCACCTGGGGAGATTGCATCACCCAGCAAGGCTCAACCAAACCTGGAAGTCAAAAGACAACCTGCAGAGTTACCCCTGCATGGCCCCATGGGAGTCTGACAACCAATCAGAATACAAGCTCAAATTCAAAGCCCAACAGAGGGCATAAAACCAAGGCACTCTCAGCATCTCTGCCCTTTTTCTGCTCAGGAACTCAAGCCATGTGATCCTGTTCATCAATATACCTTTTTCCCAAGCGACTTCCATGAACCCAGTGTCTTTTTCCCCACTTGGAACTGAACCCAGAAGGATATTTCTTCCAACATAACCCCTGCCACAAATTGAGAAAGTTGCTATTAAAAGAATAAAAAAAAAACATAAACAAAACCTGCAGATTAGAAGATAGTTATTTGAATAAGAAAATGATAAGCAATACACTGTACAAGACTTGCACAAAGATTCAGAAGGGCCTAATATGGCTAATAAAAATCTATGTGATATCTAATATTTTCAGTTTTTTGAAACTGAGTATTTAGTCATCAGCAGAAGAAATAAATGACTACAAATGAAACAGAACTAAATTACTGCTTAATCAGATATTCGGGGGGGGGGGACTTTGTAATCTTGTTAGTATAGACATTATACCAAATATTAGCTAAAGTGGGTAAATAAAACAAGTCCGTTTTTTTTATAAAAAATGGTTATTTTTAAAAATCACAATTGTTTCCTTTCTCCAGAAATAATTTCAGAATCAATGCAAGATGCAATATTTAAAAAACAACACTAATATTAGTTTGGTTAATATAACATTTTCTCCCGGAAGTTAACCAACTTTACAAAGATCAGGATGCACTTGCAAGCGGGTATTTAAAATCAAAGATTCGTTTTTACTGTAGATTTTTAAGCCCTTTGGTGTCCAAGGCATGTAAAAAAAGGGGGGTGGGGATTTCCATAGAACCAGGGGAAGGAGCTGAGAAGCTTTATTTGCAGTTGCTGGAAAGAAGGAGGGTAGTCTCACAAGCAGTCCCCTGTGTGGCCATATTATGGGCTTTTTCTTTTCTTTTTTGAGCACAAAAGCATGAATGCTCTGCTCCATAAATAGAGTGACTGCAGTTCAGGCAACCAGCCTGGGGGAAGCCCAAAGTCACATGGTGTGGGGAATTTCCTTGCCCACACAGTTGCCTCAGCAACAGGATGAGGAGGGAAGGAGGCCAAAAAGCAGCCAATGCACAGCTGCTTTTTCCAGCCGACACAAATTGCTGGGGGAAGAGACAGGTTACTTTGCTCTGTCAGTGGCATCTACTTTGGCGGTGCTGAGGTTTTTACAAGACTGCATTGAAAAATTAACCCTCTCTTCATAGACAATGGTTTAGGGTTTTTTTTTTTTATTATTATTGCATAGCAGACTCCTGCGAGTCCCTTGGACTGCAAGGCGATCAAACCGGTCAGTCTTAGAGGAGATCAACCCTGACTGCTCTTTAGAAGGCCAGATCCTGAAGGTGAAACTCAAATACTTTGGCCACCTAATGAGAAGGAAGGACTCACTGGAGAAGAGCCTAATGCTGGGAACGATTGAAGGCAAAAGAAGAAGAGGACGACAGAGAATGAGGTGGCAGGATGGAGTCACTGAAGCAGTCGGCGTGAGCTTAAATGGACTCCAGAGGATGGTAGAGGACAGGAAGGCCTGGAGGAATGTTGTCCATGGGGTCACGATGGTCAGACACGACTTCACAACTAACAACAACAACAACTGTCTTTTGCCCTAGAAGCTTGTGTTCTCCTCACAGCTCAGTGTTTGCCTTACAGCTACACATGTCTCTAGGACAGCCTCTCTGAGGTTAAAGGAATAAAAATAAAAACAATTTTTTAAAAAAAATTAATAGTTGGCAATTCCAATTGTTCTGCCAATGTGTTAGGACTGGTCTGCCAGTCCTCTCAGTGATCTTCAGTGCATGTAAAGCAGTACCAGCA